TTTTGATGTATGCCCCCCCCCCCCAATATGTTTTGATCACAATCAGCAAATGGTTGGAAAGTAAAAAGCTTTTAGGTAGAAATCAGTGACTTAAAGTGAGTTAAGTTGATTGCCTCTTATGCTGGGCACACACCTTACAACCAGCGCAAGACTTTTGTCTTGCGCTGGTTGTAAGGTAATTTTTAAAAAAAACGTACGATCTGCCTATCTTGGACAGGCAGATTGTACTTGCTATGATCGCAAGCCTGCCCTGCTGAGGGGCGGGCTTCCGATGACCGCAATGCCAAACGGGCAGTGTGCGCTTGCGCACACCGGCCCGTGCGGCTTTTATATTGCGAACATGCCACAAACCAGCCGAAAATCGTACGATGTTTGGCTGGTTTTCGAACATGTTCCTAAGATAAAAGTCGTGCGACCTTACAGTAGTAGAGGTCGCACGCCTTCCACACACCTTACGATAATCGTACGATCGCGGGATTATCGTACAATTATCGCAGGGTGTGGGCACCTTTTACTTGTTAGGTCAGCTTTTGTAGTCACCAGGACAAATAGGTGAATTTCCTCAGTGGGATACAAAAAAACAGTGAGACAAAAATACCAACTTGACTGCAGGTCTAAACTTTCCCCACTCTATCCAAAACTATAAAAAAAAAAAAGTTTTCCCTAGAGATACACTTTTAATTGAGTTCTGAGCTAGAGCCCAGTGAAACTACATTCGGACTTTAAGCTAGTCAAGTTTTCTTTAAACTGCCGTATATTTAAATACTGAATTCTGTTTACTTCATGACAAACCCGCTAAAATCCATTGTTTTAAATGATAATTGGCAGAGATGTGAAATAATTCCTCTACTGGAGATCACTGCAATTATACTAACAAATATTGGATAGGTTTTAAAAATGACATGGTAGCCAAGGAAACCCTTCTTGTGTATATCTACTGCTCTGCTCAGGCAGAAATTGCAGGGTTATTCCCAAAAGGGTGAAGAGTTTGGAGAAGGCAGAAGTGAGCAATCTAGGACAACATAGCTGAACTGGAAAGTGAGCTGAATTGGAGACTTTTTCCGAAATTGGCTATTTTGGCCTAAATTGTTCACTTCTCCTGACTTCTCCAAACACTTCACCCTTTTGTAAATAACCCTGTAGATCTTTTGTTCTATTAAAACCAAGGACATGCTATACACATATGTACCACACCTAAAAAACTATTGCACATTTGTGGATCCTGTTTACTTCGCTCTTTAATAGACATGCCAAGTTTCTTTTTGTATTAAAAATATTTAACTGGTAATGAAAACAGGACTGTTTGCTATTTGAGTGTATATTTAGAACACCTTTTATATTCTTTTATAGTGCCAACAAAATGCACTCGAGCCGACAGACGTCAGAATATCTACCTTCACAGCCAGAAAATAGAGACTCTAAGGTATTTTACAATTTGAATGATTGGAGACAAGTTGGTGTTGCCCCACAAATGATTAATCTGGCCCTTCAGGCACTATGACCAGGCTGTCGCTTGAGAGAAATTAAGTCTGTGCCGAAGTAGTCTGGGGGTCTAAGCAGACCAAATGGCCAGGAGGCTGAACATTGTATTTATGTAGTGTTATCAAACACTTGCAAGGGCAAGGGTTGTGTTTTCTGCTGCAAACTTGCTTTTGCTGATGAATAAATGTGCACAGAAGCCATTAGATGTACAGTAAATACAAAAAGTTTACACACCCCTGTAATAATGCCAGGTTTTTGAGATGTAAAAAAATTAAACCAAAATAAATCACTTCAGAATGTTTTCCACCTTTTTAAGGTGACCTATATGAGCAATTCAGTTAAAAAAAACAAAACTGAAATTTTGTGGGAAAAAAATAAAATGTTGACTGCCTAAGTATACATACCTTCTTCTAATGAATTATGTGGCTGTGTTCAGAAGGAACTAATCACATTCATACTGATGATAAATATTCAGTACACACTTGCCATCAAATAAAGTGACTCTGATTAAGCTCATATAAAGGTAATCTTTTCGAGTAGGATTTTTCTGACATTTACTCAGTTGGCTTATACAGCAAAAGCCATGATCTATAAACCGCTTGCAAAGCATCAAAGGGATCTCATTGTTGGAAGGTATCAGTCAGAAGGGTGTACAAAAAAATTTCAGGGCATTAGATATGCTATGGAACACAGTGAAGGAGGGCGTCATCAAGTGTACAAAATATGGTCCAACAATGGCATTACCAAGTACTGGGCGTTCCTCAAAAATGTATGAAAAAACTAAAGGAAAACTGGTCCAGGAGGCTGCCAAGAAGCCTACAGCAACATCAAGGGAGCTGGCAAGTACTGGTTGTGTACTAGACGAGACAACGATCTCCTGTATTCTTCATATGCCTGGCCTGTGGGGTAGACTGTCAAGATGGAAGCTTTTTCTTACTGTCCAAGAAATATCTATCCATCCAATCAAAAACATCCAGGCCTGGCTACGTTTTGCAAAAACCTACATCAGGTCTGACAAAAGCATGTGGGAAAATGTGTTATGTTGTGATGACACCAAGATTGAACTTTTTGGCCATAATTCTAAAAAGTTTGTTTGGCACAAAAACAACACTGTGCATCACCAAATAACACCATACACATGGTGGTGGTAGCACTATGCTTTGGGACTGTTTTTCTTTAGCTGGGGCTTTAGTCAAGGTGGCAGGACTTATGAACAGTTTGAAATATCATTCAATTTTGGCACCAAACCTTCAGGCCTCTGCTAAAAAGCTGAAGATGAAGAGGAATTTCACCTTACAGCACAACAACGACCCAAAACATACCTCCAAATCAATAGAAGAGTTGCTTCACCAGAAGGAGATTAAAGTTTTGTTATGGCCCAGCCAAGGCCTGGACCTTAATCCAACTGAATCTGTGGGATAACCTAAAGTGTGCTGTGCACAGGGGATGCCCACAATCCTAACAGATTTCAATCGATTTTGCAAGGAAGAATTCCCAAGGCAAGATGTGCTGCTAGATTCCTACCCTAAACGATTGAATGCTATCAAATGGTCCTTTTAATAAAGTAATAGTTTAGGGGTGTGTATAATAATGCAACCATGTTATTGGAGTAGACTTTTTCTATTTTTTATTTACTGAGACACTTTATGGGTTAAACGCCAAAGTCTATGGCTTAGGCAGTGAAATGGTTCCCTGTGTGTGTCTTTTGAATCTCGGCTAATCATTAGGTGGTTGTCATGCTTTTACTGCATGCTTTACAGGAATAAACATCCAGCAGAGGAGCAAAATAAAAGCATACAGAAACCAAAACCCAAGAAACAGTGTTGTTTGTTCTGTAAATAGTCCCGCACACTTCTCAGTTCTGAGCATCTGAGGGTCTTTGCTATGAGCCCAGTCTCGGACAAAAAGGGTAGCAGAGGAACCTTTGCTTTGCTTTAAGCTGAGTAAGATCATTATGGCTGTTATGGGGCCATGAGGGGTTAATCAGAGTCTTTCTGGGATCTATCAGAAGGTCATTTAGTCTAATGTCACTCTACCTAATTTTTCTCACAGAAGGTATTCTCAAAGACCATAGCTGCCAGCAGATAAGAGGACCCACATAAAGTAAACAACCAAGTTCAGCAGCAATTTAGTCACATTTCAACATTTTGTTTTTTTGTATACTAGACTTGATAATTGTCAATGGAGGTATTCTGGGGGAAGGAAAATAAATGCAGTTTTTTAACGCTCCAAAGTTTTTTTTTCTTATTTCAAATAAAGAACAAGACCAATTAACATTACTCTAACAATGAGAAGAGACTCCCCCGGAGACCACTCTGAACAGTTTAAAGTGCAGGTTACAGAGACAAATCAAAGGAAATGAGATATCCAGTGAAGACAGCAATCTAGAAATGTTAGATTGTTGCACATGATGCTATACCCTATTTTAAAAGAGGAAATGGGGTGGTGTATCATGTTTCTCTACTTGGAGATGTAGTTAAATTGATAGAGTAAAACATTTAAACTATTGTTGTTGTTTTTTTATAGACATGCATGAAAATTGCTTTTCTATCATTTTCAATTTTTTATAGGCTTCATTCATTGGGAACCCAGTTACTCCAAACAGACCTCACAGGTATGTGCAATTTTTGCCTTATTTATGCAAGTATATGTGTGTAAGAAAATGGTTTATTTAGCATTGTTTTTACAACTGCATATTTTTTTCTTTTAAGGCGAATTGAACTAGCAGCCAAATTCCCAGGTCAGGAACAAGTAAATTGTACAGTCACTAAAGACCCAACGTAAGTCTATATCTTCTCCAGATTCCAATTCGTATGTTCTCTCTGACCATTTAATCGATTTGCTTATATAAACACTTTGCCAGCTTTGAAATACAGTGGTACCACGGTTCACGAACGCTTCTGTTCGCGAAAAATTCGGTTCACGAACAGGAAGTTCGGCAAAATTTTGCCTCCATTCGCGAACTCTGCATCGGGTGGCGAACACGACCGCGTCCATCTTCCTTGCTCTGACAAGTGGCCGAGATCGCGGACGGACTTGTGCACACTTCCTATGAAGCTTTTTTGTGTGCTTTTTAGCACAGTACTGTACAGTATTACATTATTCCATCCAGCATGGCTCCAAAGAAAGTGCAGAGCAAGCATGGTAGTAAAAAGAATGTGCAGAGTGGTAATGAAGGTGACGAGAATGTGCCGAGCGGTAATGAAGGTGACAAAGTGCAGAGCAAGCATGGTGGTAAAATGTGCAGAGCGGTAATGAAGGTGACAAAAATGTGCAGAGCATTAATGAAGGTGACCAGAAAGTGCACAGCAAGAATTAATGTAACAAAGTGCAGAGCAAGAATGGTAATGAGAAGGTTTTAAAGAAAATAACCATTGAATTGAAGAAGGACATTTATGGAAAAAGAAAATGGTGGTATCTGTGTGACTGATCTGGCCTCAGAGTACAAGATGGCGAAGTCAACAATCTCGACTATTTTGAAGAATAAAGGAGCTGATGTGGCAAAAGGAGTAACGATGTTAACCAAGCAGAGGACACAAGTACTGGAAGAGGTGAACAATTTTTTTGTAGGGGGGTTGAATGAGAAACAGCTGGCAGGTGATGGTGTTAGTGAAGCTATGATCTGTGAAAAAAGCCGGGAAATTGCACAGTGATTTACTGTAACAAAACCCCTCCACAAGTTCATCCAGTGATTGAATTTAAAGCCAGTAGAGGGTGGTTCGATAAATTCCGCAAGAGAAGTGGCTTCCACAGTGTGATAAGACATGATGAGGCTTCCAGTTCTGACAAGGCCGCTGCAGAAGCCTACAAGAAAAACTGCGGAATTCATGAAGGCAGAAGGATACGTCGCTCAACAAGTGTCAACTGCGATGAAACAGGGCTCTTTTGGAAGAGGCTGCCAAACAGAACCTATTTCACGCAGGAGGAAAAGGCACTGCTGGGGCTTAAGCCCATGAAGGACAGATTGACCCTTTTTGCTGTGTGCGAACGCAAGCGCCGTTCTGTAGATTAAGCCACTACTGGTGTACCATTCCCAGACCCCTCGTGCATTCAAGGAACAGAATGTGAACAAGGCCAGACTGCCTGTCATGTGGAGGGCCATCTTCTGATGGACAATGCCGGAGGGGAAGTTGGAGTGTTTACAGGTTGTGTTAAATAATAGCATTCACCTTTTGCATCAAATTGAGGAACAAATGTAAGAGAACAAATGAAAAAAGTTATGTGGTTCAATTCTAGTCTTCTAGAATTCTAGTGGCGGAACGGATAGGGGAGGGGGCAGGTACAGCTGGCTCTGCCTCTAGATGGGCAGAGCCAGCTGTCACTCATGCAGCTGGGCGGATCCAGACATAATTGTCGGGATCCGCTTCAGCTGCGGCGTCTCAGTATACCGCGAGCTGTAGCTCGCGGTATTCTGAGCTTAGGGTGACGGAAGGACGCTAGTTTGTGTCCTCCCGTTACCCTAAGGAGAACTATGGGGAAAAGCCCTAACCCCATAGTTCTCCTTTAATCTGAAATTACGGAAAGGGTTCTGTACAGTCAAAGTAGCAAAAGTGTGGAATTCCCTCCCTCAAGTAGTGGTAACAGTGGGGAGTATTGACAAATTTCAAAAACCTCTAGCGGTCTTCCTCGATGAGCACAAGTTCCAGGGATATGTATACTATTTGAAAACACACACAGATTGGATGTACCTGTGTCTTCTTCCAAACCTTATCTACTACCGGTATGTAACTGTAACAACTCTGCCATACAGCAGCAGCAATGCAAGAGTCAAGTTGGTTGGCAAGAGATAACACATTTTTGTTGTCATCAGAACAGGAATAAAGGGGACACTTGTTCTGGTGACAACTGTCTAAGAGAAAATTTACCTCACTAAAGAGCTTGCTTCTCATTTCCTGCTGTGTCGTCTGTATTACATAAAGTAAAAATAATCTCTTCAATGGGAGACAGATGGCAAAAGAACTGACAGGGCTTTTAACCTATCCCTACTTTAAAAAAAAATGAATAAAGTATTGGCTTAAGTTATACTTGTGTTCAGTTTCTGACTGAATTTATCCAAACCTATAGGCTTTTTTTTACTGATTTGCCATATTTTAGCAACCAAGCCACATGTTTTAGCGGAGTTCAAACATACTACATCCCCAGTTGCCCAAGGGCTTTAAGTGGTTATTCAGAAAGCACATACATGCAAGAATGAGGCATGACTCTAGAAATATGAGGAAATGAAAGCCTACACCATAGATTTCAGTTTACAGTGACAAAATGTAGCTAGAGATCTTATGCATCAAAATAGATGCTTCCGTTCATTTCTTTTACATTCCTTCCCAATTTCACACATTTATATACATTTGCAGGTTGCAAAAATAGCTGGTATTATACGTGGTCCAATCATATTGACCCAAATGTATCCCCTGACAAAGTTTTGGAGCATTTCAACAATAGTTTTTTTTGTTTTGGTTATGTTTTTTCTTATATACAGATCACTTTGTAGAAGATGAATGCAACGCCAACCACATTTTAAACAAATTACATATTTCTCATATCTACGTATCAATGTTTCTACACAGATTTCTTCAAGATTTTGATGACATAACAGAACTTGGATCTGGTGGATATGGAACCGTCTTCAAAGCAAGAAAAAAAATTGATACAAAGTACTATGTTGTTAAAAAAGTAAAGAGGCGCTCAGAGTAAGTTTATCTGATTTAAAAAGGAAAAAAATATTTTAGATAATTGTTTTTGATTAGACATTGCATTTGAGCAGGTAAATGTGTGAACCATTTTACAGAGGGAAAAGTTTTTTTTGCAAACTACTGTATATGGGAAGAGGAATCTGCACACATTTACATCATATTGGTGTATAGCAGGGGTGCCCACAATTTTTTTGTCTTGATCTACATTTCAAATGACAAGCTCAATGAGATCTACCAACAAAAAAAACACTTTATTTAAAAAACAAGCACATTAACCTAGAGCTGCAGCTAACGATTATTTTCAAAATCGATTAGTTAGCCGATTATTAAGTTCGATTAATCGGATAAACAAAAAAAAAATGAAAAATGGTTCCAGTGATGTACTACTAGTTTGTATTGAGATTGTAGTCCATCACAGGAGCAAGCTTGGAGCGGTGGAAAAAAATAGTGTGGTGTGCAATATAGTGAAAAGGAAAGTGTAAAATTATACAGCAATGAATGCAGAATGGCACCGGCTATAGAGGACTACAAATCCCAGCAATAGTACATTATACAGCGCAATGCAGAATATCACCAGCTATAGAGGACTACAACAAATCCCAGCAATAGTACATTATAGCTGGTGGTATTCTGCATTGCGCTGTATAATGTATTATTGGTGGGATTTGTAGTCCTCTATACAGTGCAGTGCAGAATATCACCAGCTATATAGGAATACAACAAATCCCAGCAATACATTATACATACAGTGTGTAATGTATTGCTGGAATTTGTATTCCTATGTATAATATACAGCACAATGTACCATCAGCTATAAAGGAATACAAATCCCAGCAATACATTATAGAGCACCATGTGTGGGAAGTGCAGGCTTACCTGAGCAGTCTTCCAGCAACTTGCTTCTGAGATCGGACCTGTCTATCGGCGGCTGTCATCCCCCCACACCTGCTCCTCCTTACTACATCTCCCTGCGCCCCTGTGCCGATCGTGGATGTGGGCGGGCGGTGAGTGTGAGGCGGGGAGGAGGTGCGGCGTGAAGAGCGTGGATGTGGGCGGGTCTGGCAGCGGCGAGCGTGAGGTGGGGAAGAGGTGCGGCGCGCAGCGTGTGTGGAGCCGTGAACAGGGCCAACTGATCGGAAGCCGATTAATCGATTATTGAAAAAGTTGACAACTTTTTCAATAATCGATTATAATCGATTATGTCGATTAGTTGTTGCAGCCCTACATTAACCACTTGCTGATTAGTGTGTTTAAACCCCCTTCCTGTCCAGACCATTTTTCAGTATTCAGCGATGAGGTACTTTGACTGACATTTAGCCATGCAACACTGTACTGAAATTTATTTTATACCATTTTTGGGGGCACACAGAGCTTTCGTTTGGTGGTATTTAATCACCACAGGGAGGTTTGATTTTTTACTATAGTAAAGAAAAATTACTGAAATTTTGAAAACAAAAAAGGTTTTTTTACATTGTTATAATACAATTATTATTACCCAATTTTTTTTGGTAAAATATAAAAGACGAGGTCATGTTGGGTAAATAGACACCAAACATGTCAAGCTTTAAAACAATTTCTTTTTTTTTTTTTTTTATGCAACTTTAATTTTTTTTACTTTTTTTGTGATGGCAAAGATATGCGACAGGTCCTCTTTAGGGAGACATCAGGGGTCTCCAAGACCCCTAATGTCACCTAGGGACCCCCAAAGAAGCTAATGAAGCAGAAAGCCCAGCGGAGCAGCCAAGGGGGGACCAGCGGAGGGGGCTGTTAGGATCCAGAGCGCCTCTAGGTGGCGCAGGAGCTGAGACATGCAGCTCCAGTGCTCACCTGCGGTTGTTTCCCAGCTACCAGTACTTAGCCATCACCTGAGGCTTCCTGGGAGGATATTTAAACCCTCCCTGCAGTCAGGATGATGGCTCAGTATCATTTCCTGTTTCCTGAAACTTGAAGCCTGAGTCCCCAGTTTCAGAGAATCCTGCTTCCTGTCCAGAGTCCTGTTACCAGTCCTGTACCTTGTTTGTGTCCCGAGCCAGGTTACCCATTTGTAGACCTGCCTGTCCTCTTGTTGCCATTACCTGCCTTTTCCTCCTGTTGCCATTACCTGCTTGTCCTCCTGTTGCCTTTTCCTGCTAGTAGTCTGGGTGAGGTTACTTATTTATGTTTGTTTTTGGGTGTTGTTTAGTTTGCTGTTGAATAAACTGTATATATAACATTCTGCCCTGTCCGGTGTGGTCATAAGTGTTTGGTCTGCCTGTGTGGGTACCTGCGCAGGTGTGGGGTCACCTGTGCCGGTATCCGTGATAGAATACTGAGCCCAGTAACGGCCAAATCGACCACACGGGGACCTGCTTGCTTTCTGAGGTATTCCAGTGTCAAAATGGATCTCGAGCACATGCATGGTTATGTGCGTTTAGTATCCGAGGCACCGCAGCGCTGCCGACAATTATTCCGGCGATCCCCCAGAGCAGAGCTATTGGAATATGTCTGCAGCGCTCACTGTTTTATGGATACCACTGGTTGTCCTTTTTGGGATATCCAACCCCTAATCCAGATTTGGACAGAACTGGCTCTGAGTGGTGGTAAGGGTGATGACTTTTCCCCTCCATTTATGGGACGATCCTGTTCCTGTCGATGCTCTTCCGTCCGATCCAGTTCCTGACGATGCTGGTCCATCCGATCCCGTTCCTGGTCTCTGACGATCCCGTGCCTGATGCCCGGCTCCTGGTCTCTGACGATCCCGTGCCTGATGCCCGGCTCCTGGTCTCTGACGATCCCGTGTCCGATGCCCGGCTCCTGGTCTCTGACGATCCCGTGTCCGATGCCCGGCTCTTCGCCTCCGCTGATCCGGTGCCTGCTGCCCAGCTCTTCGCCTCCGCTGATCCGGTGCCTGCTGCCCGGCTCTTTGCTTCTGGTCCTGGTGCGGAGGGGATGCCCCTTGCAGCCGAGGGTCCTGGGGTTCGGGACATCCACCGCACGTGGGGTGATCATGTGCGCAATCCCGGGCCTGGTAGTGGTGTTATCCTGGGGAACGGGGGAGTTCCATGTGAGCACCCTTTGCTTCCAAAGGGTCTCGCTGCGTTCCCTGAAGTATGTGGTGACCTGGGTCGGGTGGCCACAGCTTTGGGGGTATCCGGGTGGCTGGCTGAATGCGATGTCGGCCCTAGTGACCCCCCCATGTTTCATTGCGGTGGTCTGCCCGCTGAAACCCAGGCTCCTTAGTGCTGGGGGGTGTGCCCTACGGAACCCTGGTACCCATCGCCTTTCTGTTGGGTCTTCTGCTGGCCTGTGGAAACTTCTTCCGGATCCAGGTGGTGGACTGCTCGGCCTGATGCCTGACCCTGGCGGAGTGGGTGCTCGGCTGGTCCCTGAACTTTGGCCCTGGGGCATATGGTGGACTTGGCGGCCTTCTGTGCCCCTGGATCTCGGTGGTGCGGATGGACTTTTGTGGAGCGTCCGGAGCCCGCTCCTTGAGGGTGGGGTACTATTAGGATCCAGAGCGCCTCTAGGTGGCGCAGGAGCTGAGACATGCAGCTCCAGTGCTCACCTGCGGTTGTTTCCCAGCTGCCAGTACTTAGCCATCACCTGGTGCTTCCTGGGAGGATATTTAAACCCTCCCTGCAGTCAGGATGATGGCTCAGTATCATTTCCTGTTTCCTGAAACTTGAAGCCTGAGTCCCCAGTTTCAGAGAATCCTGCTTCCCGTCCAGAGTCCTGTTACCAGTCATGTACCTTGTTTGTGTCCCGAGCCAGGTTACCCATTTGTAGACCTGCCTGTCCTCCTGTTGCCATTATCTGCTTGTCCTCCTGTTGCCATTACCTGCCTTTTCCTCCTGTTGCCATTACCTGCTTGTCCTCCTGTTGCCTTTACCTGCTAGGAGTCTGGGTGAGGTTACTTATTTATGTTTGTTTTTGGGTGTTGTTTAGTTTGCTGTTGAATAAACTGTATATATAACATTCTGCCCTGTCCGGTGTGGTCATCAGTGTTTGGTCTGCCTGTGTGGGTACCTGCGCAGGTGTGGGGTCACCTGTGCCGGTATCCGTGATAGGGGCGCACGGACCGGCACCTTCCAAAAGATTGAGTCACAAAAATTACATCACCTTGGGGTGTCTACATTTTAAAAAGGTGTCATTTCGGGCGTGTTCCAGCTGTCCCAAAAATAATAAAAATAAAACTTTTGGGTATGCAAAACTTCTTGTACACATCAATGATCTTGAACTTTCCCATAAATTCCACCCATCTCCTGAGGGGCTTGTTAAATTATCGGTGCTCAGCAAGGAACTTAAGGACCTCCTAGACCATCTTCTCTTGTTTTATGGGATAAGACCCGTAGGTTGTTCTATGAGCATGGAGACAAGGCCGGTAAGCTTTTCACTGGGGCACTCAACTAACGGTTTGCGGTTGGTGGAGTGCCCTAGTGCTACAGGACTTGGGCAAATTAAAATGTTGTAACCTAACCCCCTCTGTGACATTACTAACATGCATACTGCATATTCTATAGTAATCTGTGTAATCTCCAACCTCATTTTGGCATGCTTAACCCTCTGATGCTTCATCCTAAAATTCAACGCTACATAGCCTCTATGGTGCACCCTACTATTCCCCTTGACTTAAAAGAGGATCTTGATAAACCCATTGTGGAACAGGAGACTATGGCCACAGTGAAATCACTGGGACTTGCCAAAAGTCTAGCCCTAATGGGTATACCCTCAGGTTCAATAAAATGTTCCATGATGCCTTGGTCTTTTTTATGACAAACACTTTCAATGCGATTTTGGCGCCTCAACATTTCCAACCCCAATCATTGGAGACTTACATTACAGTGACTCCCAAGCCTTGTCAAAGATGCCACTGTATGTGGCAATTATCGACCAATCTCTCTTACTAATTGGAGATCTGAAATTAATATAAAATCTTAGCTAACAGATTAAAACTGAAACTCACTTATGTTCATGGCTCGCTCCAAATGCATGCTTTAAACTACCTAGGCTGCCTCTCATGACACTATCTATGTTGCTCTTAACACTGTATAGTAAAGAGTACAGGTGATGGATAAGCACTTGTTTTGGTATAAACATTTGCAATTGTCAATGTTCTTTCAGAACCTTCCTTCTTTGCAACCACTCCCCAGACCATGTATTTATTTCGAATCTCTCCTCCTTCAAAAAGTAAGGTGTTCACATGTCCTTTCTGTGGTGTCTGTGTGAGTCTCTACCAGGTCACCCATTGTTTACTTTGAATTGTGAAACAAGAGTTATATATACCAGGGGATTGGGTAGCTTGGCCGAAAGCCTTTACTTTTGGACATAAGCTTACCATTTCTAACAAGTTACAAGAGCGAAATAAAATTATTTCATAGTGGTACTGCTGCTCCACTGACATATGGATGTATGAATCATTGGCCTCTGGCATGTTTTGGAGATGTCTTTCAGAAAAAGGACCCATATCTGGTTTGCTTGCCTTTTTAATTCAACCATTTTGGGATGCTATTATCTCAGTTTATAAGATGATCACTGATATTGGTAAACGGAATGACCGTTACATTTTACTACTGTCCATTATACCTGAGAAGTATTAGAATATTAAACTAGCTATTTTTAGACAATTCCTAGCTCTTGCTCTTGATGTGATTTTAAGACTCTGGAGGTCTACACAACCTCTTACCACTGCAAAGTGGGTGTGCGAGGAAGATACCATTTAAACAACTTAAGGGACTGGTTGCCTGGGAGGGGGACAAAGCCACCAACATTACATAGCCTGGGACTTTTGGAACTCTTCAACCTGGACCGAGATCTGCCCCTTTTCCTCCCTATAACAACCCCCCACCCCTTCTTTTTTTTTGTTGCTATTTTCTCCCTACGCTTATCCTCTTTTCCCCTTCTTCTTTCTCTGCAAACTTTTCTATTGCAGATCTTTGACCATATGTTTTGGGTTCTATAATAACAGTATTTAGAGGCAAGGGTTTGCTCTTTTATTCCCCTTGCTCAACTGAATTGTGTGTGGTTATGGCATTGTTGTAGTTTATATCAACAGTAAAACTTATGTCTTATGTATTCTCAAGTTATCTCTTGTTTCGCGCAGAATACCACTTATTATATACTATGCCTTTACGATATTGTACTTTTTTAAAACTGTTTTTTAATCCTCCTTTTTTGTGTATGCATTGTAGATATGCTGTGTAGTGTTTTTTTCTATTCTCGTTCATAAAATTAATTTGGATACAGTGTTGCATGATGGGATAATTGTTAAGGTTAACGAAAGGGTCTATACAAGTGGTTAAGTATAAAAGGTCTTCCACTTTTAATATTTGAAACGCTATTTCTCTTTCTATATTTTTCTTTAGAAAAGATGATGCCGAGATTAAAGCTTTAGCTAATTTAGAGCATCCACATATTGTTCGATACTACCATTCCTGGCCTGGAGAAGATGTATTTCCTGATGACAGCTGCAGTGGTGATAGGTAATGCATTTTATGCTGAACATTTTATACATATTATACAATGTCATCACATGAAACGCAAAGAAATGAAAGGTCTATCATTTTTTATCATAGGTGTATTTTAAATGATAGAGACAGAATATCAACCAAAAATCCAGAAAAAACACATGATACAAATGTTATAAATTGAGTTGCAGTTCAGTGATTAAAATACGTATTTGATCCCCTAGCAACCGACAATAATTCTGGCTCCCACAGACTGGCGATGTGGTACACAGATTTAGTCCTGTCACTTTAAAATGGTGCTCCTAACAACAACTCGTTATGTATATAAAAGACACCTGTCCACAGAATCTCTTTCTTCCATTCAAACCTCACCACTATGGGCAAGACCAAAGAGCTGTCAAAGGACATTGGGGACAAGATTGTAGACCTGCACAAGGCTGGAATGGGCTACAAGAATCCGTTGGACAAGAAAGCTGAGGTGGTTGCGTGGTCCATGTATACAGTCACGGGATCGGTGTTGCAGCCGGCTTTGACTGCGACCTTGTGTCCCAGATGCTAACTGAATGATAGAAGCTGCGGCAGGGTTTGGAGAGTGAACAGGTGTCTCCTCCATGGTCTTCAGTGCGTATGCAATGCTTCGCTGAACACAGGAACCTTGCTGTCCAAGCTGCTGGTGTCTTCAGTTGTTCTGTGTCGTCTCCTGTGGCTCAAGGCTAGTCTCTCCGACCAGACCTCCCTGAAGGTGTTGACAGACCTGCCTTTTTGGGTGATCGTTTTTTGTGGCTACACTGGAGGATATTATCATGCACCTGTGACTGCTGGCGACAGTAGCTTCCTTCCACAGCTTAGGGCGGGTAAGGAGCCACTGCGTAAACAGAGCTAGCTCCTCCTTTCGGCTCTTGAGTACATCAGACGAAGGTTGGAAGTCAAATAAGTCCTTCTTTTCCGGGGGTCCCAAAAGTTTCTGGTCCGGTCAAGTCCTCCCAAGCCTGCAGAGATGTCTTGCTCCGCATGAAGGTGCGCCTCCACCTGGGCGACTAAGGATGGGGGGATGTCTTCGTTGGTTTGCAGATCAATGGCTGTCTCACATATCAGACAGTTGGTTTTGTGAACTCGTTCTCTCATTGGTCAGCACAGGGCCACTAGACCAGGGAGGAGTCCGGGTTGCCAATCAATGTTCTGGAGCTTTGTGTGGCATTGTATCCTGTGTTGGATGGATCTGCGCGGGCAGGTGGGCATGAGGAGGCGGACTGCTGTGCTGGAGGTGTCTCGAATCCTGCATTGGGCCGAAAGTCATGTCTGGGCTTTGTCCGCTTTATTTGTTCCAGGCGTGGAAAATTGGCAGGTGGACTGCCTGAGGCGTTGGGGCCTGGATGAAGGGGAATGGGCCCTTCACCTGGAATTGTACCACCAAATATGCCTAAGGTGGGGGACTCCAGATGTGGATCTTCTGACCTTGCGTCTGAATCGAAAGATTGTTTAGTGTGCAGGACTCTGGACCCTTGGGCGGACACGGTGGACGCTCTGGTAGCACTGTGGGGCAAGTATGAACTCTCTTATTCGTTTCCCCCTCCTGGAGCTTCTACCGAGTCTGTTGCGACAGGTGGAAGTCGAGGGGATCCCGATTTCTTCTGGTAACTCTGGCTTGGCCCGCCATCCCTGGTATGCGGATTTTGTTAGCCTGGTTGTGAACATTCAGTCCTCGGCAGTATCTTCTATCGCATGGCCCCATTAACCACTCTTCTTTACCGCTGCTGGCTTTGGCGGTGTGGCTATTGAAATGCAGATCTTGAAGGATAGGGGGCTAACGGTTTCTTTGATCTTTTACTATGCTTTGGGCTTGTGAGTCCTTCTTGCGGAATATATATAATTTCTCTGGGAAGGCCTATATTTTGTGGTATGAATCCCTTCAGGTGTCCTCGCATGCCTTTTTTTCTTCGCCAGAATCCTGGCCTTCCTTCAAGGGGAGTGGGTTGGCCTTTGTCGTTTTAGTATAGTCGAAGGTCAGGTTCCTGCTAGGGCAGTTAGTACTTTGTGCCTTTGGTATCGGGCTTCTGTAGTGCAAGTTTGCAGGGCGGCTACCTGGTCTTAGGAGCACATCCTCAGATGGTTTTATAAAGTTGATGTTTTTGCTTTTGCTGATGCAGTTTTTGTGCGCAAAGTTCTAGAAGAGGCTGTTTAGTGTGTGGGTACCTACTCTTGATCTTTTTATTGCCCACCCCTCCGTTCTCACTGCTTTTGGACTTCCTTCTGTTGAATGAAGAAATGGCTGTGTCCTTCAATAAACGGAAGAGAAAATAAGATTTTTTTTTTTATTCTCCGTAAAATCCTTCTTTTTCTCTGCTTTCATTGAAGGACACAGGCCCCTCCCCTCTGGAAGTTGTCTGTCTGTCATGTCTCTACTGCTTGGAGAGCTGCCGCTAGCTAGTAGGGGGTTGAGCCACCAGAAGGGGTGACTTTTGTTTTGTACCTAGCGTCCTTCTCCTGCAGGTGGTGATATAACTCTTCTATTGATTGAAGAAATGGCTGTGTCCTTCAATGAACGCAGAGAAAAAGATTTTACGGAGAGTACAAATCTTATTTTTGCCATTGGCAATCACAATCCGAAACATGTATTGGTGCCCCCTAGTGGAGATCATGAGTGCTGTAGTTACAAGCAATAACACTTACAATGTCTAATCTGTTCACTTCTAGTGAAAAACATTACTGCTGTTGCCATTGGCAATCACATTGAAAGAAGTATTATTGCCCCGCTAGTGGAGATCATGAGGGGTGAGGCAATATACATTAGACATTCCCAAATAGTATTATTGTGACATATTTTCCATGATGATCAGAAATGTTTGTAGCCAAGAACAATCACTCAGTAAGTTTAAGGGGTTTATTGTATGTCACGGTTGCTTCTACAATCTGTCAAACATGCCTTACATTTTAGAAACCTTTTGTTGTTTTTGTATTGTAGCCAGAAGCTCAAGTGTTTTTTCATCCAAATGGAGTTGTGTGCAAAAGGCACATTGGAGAACTGGATTGAGAAGATGGAAAAAATTGATAAGGCCAAGAGTCTTGACATTTTCCAACAAATTGTGGATGGAGTGGAGTACATTCATTCTAAAAAATTTATTCACAGAGACCTGAAAGTAAGTGGTCAACTTTGGTCCTCCAAACAGTGTTCTTTGTTGCGCTAATATTGCGCAACATAAAAATTTTCAACTACCACCATTTTATTCTATAGGGTCTTGGCATTCAGAAAATATATAATGTTGGGGGGTTTTACGTCATTTTCAGGCCTAAAATGTGGAATATAACATGGGTGCAAAAATTGAAAAAAGGGCCTCAGTCATGAAGGGGTTAAAATGCATGTCCAGGCAAAATTTAAAAAAAGAATACATATCTGCAATACATGCACTTTTCCCTAGGGTTTAAGACCCCGTTCACATATAGTGACATACCTTTGCAGCGGCCGGGATAGCGCGACTTTCGGGGCGACGTTCCAGCGACGGTAGCGCGACCTTCTCCGTCGGGCTCAATAGGAAAAAAGCAAAATCCGCCGAAAAAAGGGTCCGGTAGAAGCAACCGCGACGAGCGACGCGCGACATGGAGTTAAGACAGCTTCGTTGAATAGCATTGGCCGGCGACTTCTCGCGATATCGCGCGGCAAAAATGCGCGATATCGCGGCGGAAATCGCGCGACAATTCGCTATATGTGAACGGGGCCTTAGTCCTTTAAACATGATGAGAGTACAGAAAAATGACAGTTGATGTGCCAGAAATATTGTGACTCCTAACTTCCTCTTTGACATGAGAACACAGTGGGGAATTCATAAAAACTGGAGCAGACGGAATCTAGAGCAATTGCCCATGGCAACCAATCGGCTGCTCTTTTTAGTTTGTTCAGTTATGCTGAAAAAAGAGAGAAGCTGATTTGGGTTACCGCTCCAGATTGTGTCTGCTCCAGTTTTTATGAATTTCCCCCAGTGTATTTTCAGCTGTGAACTCCTAAGCCTTGCCTACTTGCTGATGAATTACAAAGAAGACAGATCTATCTACATATCTTCATCTCCACCCTCACTCCTAATATCCATAACCCCATCCTTGTATACAGGCAAAGAGCTTATCAGCTCACAAAATTTCAGAAATGTTTGCTTGCCTTGCAAAACACTCTCAAACCTAGTGACTTGTAAACCAAGGTATTGCTGTATATATATATATATTTGATATATATATATATCAATCTCTATCTATATTAATATAATTTTACATCTGCCCTTGATATTGAGCCGTAATGCAGTTTATGCGCATACATGAGCGATATCATAAAGCGCAGTTACGAATGGATACTTAGGCCATATTTTCTCTTAGAACTTCGAGTTTGTGCGGACACTGTCCTCCCTTCTGGAGGGTGGCTATATTTTTTCACCCATGGTCCATTCAATACAAATTAGTAAACTACATTTTGAGATTGTAGTGCATCACAATTGCTCTTGTTTAGGCAACACTCGAAGAGGATTTTGGGTCTATTGTCTGTGGGCCCCTTGAGACATGTAGTATACAGTATGGTATTGTGTGCATTGTAGGTTAATGCTTAACTTTTATCTGTTGGCAGCCTGCAAATATTTTGTTTGCAGAAAATATGGTAGTAAAAATAGCAGATTTTGGTCTGGTAACCCCAGTAAGTGAAGAACTGGCGAGTGAGAGAATACTCAGGACGGCTGAAAGAGGAACAAAACGCTACATGGCTCCAGAACAGGTAAGCATGTCACTGTATACATGTAGCTGTCATAATTCTTTATTTTTAACATGCCTGTAGACCTAGTTCTCCATCCCTGAGTCTTGGTCTTTTCTGAATTTCTGATGACAAGCCTACAACAATGATGAAATTCTTTAGGACTGACTAGTAAAATCTGGAAACCTGCTGAAACATTATTGTTTCTGCATAGAAATGTTAGAAAAGTGTAGAAGACCTCCAAGAAAAGCCGATAATTACTATTAGGGATGCATACTCTGTGCTGATGCCGAGTATTTGGGCACAAGTACTCGCCCAAATGCTCCGATGCCTAGCCTGATACTTGAGCTTCCAGTATCAGGAAGCAGGGCAGCCAGTCATTACACACCCCTGGCTTTCTTGTGACGAGGGAGCATGGAGCCAGAGCATGGAGCAAGTCATTACACGCCCCCCAGCTTTTTGATTGGCCAGAAAGCTGGCTTCATGCCCCCTCGTCACCTGGTGATGAGGGAGCATGGAGACGGCTTCCCGGCCAATCAGGAAGCCGGGCACCGTGTAAGGACGCGTTGCCCGGCTTCCTGATCGGCCAGCTTCTTGACCAATCAGGAAGCCGAGCAATGCGTCATTACACGGCGCCCGGCTTCCTCATTGGCGAGAAAGCCAGCTCCATGCTGCCATGTCATCTGGTGACGAGGCAGCATTGAGACGGCTTCCCTGCTAATCGGGAAGCCAGGTGGCGAGTCTTTACACACTTCCCGGCTAATCAGGAAGCCAGTTGGCGACTCATTACACGCCGCCTGGCTTCCTTAATGGGACTTCTGGTATCCTCCCCATAATGCAGACTTCAGCTGCCAGGCCTTTGGTACTTAAAGGAGAACTATGAGTTGAGTGATTTACACTCATCCTCATAGTTACGAGCTGACGTGTGACAAAGAAGCTGTCACAGGTCGGCTTTATAGATCTGTCACTCACGGCTCCCTGCAGGGATTCCCCCTCCCCTCTCCGATCCTTCAGCGCTGAGTGGAGGAATGGACAGGGGAGGGGACGGGCACAGCTTGCTCTGCCTCCTAGATAGGCAGAGCCAGCTGTCAATCAGCCAGCTGGGTGGATCTCAACAGTATTGTTGGGATCTGTCTCGGATGCAGCGCTCTCAATATATAACTCGCTATAGCTCTCTGTATACTGAGCTTTGGCTCACAGGAAGACTAAGTATATATCCTCCCGTGACCCTTTAGAGAACTATGGGAAAAAAAGTGTGCATAGGCCCTAGCCTATGAACATTTTTTCGCAGGAATCTTGGCAGTGGTTTGGAAGGACCGTTAAGTATACACTTTGGATTGAATGGGTTGGGAACTTGGCCTTGCCCTTTCTGGTCCCCTAAGCCCAACAATTGGTCAATGTGGTTGCGGAGCATAATGTTGAGCTAATAGAGAGTTTTAGGAGATGGGAAGGATAGGTCCAAGCTCTAGACCTAATTAAACTAAGAAGTTTATTTTATAGCACCTGGGTATTCTAAGCATTGCAAATGTTTACAGTGAGAAAACAGCACCAAATTAAGCAAGTCTAACTTCAGGTTTGTTTATTTATAGTACATAACTGCAATTGTGTGTGTGGTTTTTTTTCTTTGTCTTTAAATGGATTGTATAATCTGAAGCTAAATGCATACAATGTTCATTGAATAACCAATAACTGGTTGCTGTTGCAGGAGGAAAAAAAAAATTATGAAAATGAAGTAGATATCTTTTCATTGGGATTGATACTGATTGAACTATTCTTGAAATTCAGCACTTCCCATGCGAAACAAAATGTAGGTTTTGTTTATTTAATTTGCTACATTTAAAATTGTTCTTATTTGGATAATTGGCATAATTGCTTAAATTAGTATATTATCTTGTATTTACTTTTGATGTATTAGGCATGTTGCTTCTCTTAAACTGTATATATATTTCTTGATCATGCATCACAGGACACAGGGAATTAATACTTAGGCAGCTACCTTTAGATAGATTGGATACTGCAAAATCAGCGCATTCCTATATTGCCCCTCCCACTCCAAGCTTTGCCTAAAGTTTTTCAGTTCAGCTCTGAGAGAAGTGCATACTTTTTATTTTTTCTAAAAAGACTCTTCTAGCAAGTTTACCCTGTGCTGCTCACAACCACTGGGCCACCTCCAGCAGTTATCCGGATTGTTTTCCTCCTCAGCAGGACAGTCACCAAATGGAAATGCGGGGCTGGCTTGTAATGTGCTTAGGGCACTGGACTCTGCATGTGGTGCTTACATTGGCATCTGTGCAGCATGTGGAGTTGCTGCAGGGTGCTTTGCAGGTCCAGGGTGCGATCTATCTATGAAGGTCAAAACAGAATGTCACTCGCACTTCAATGCAATGCCAAGTCAATCTTGTTAATTGACTTGAAATAATGTAGCATTTCAAAGCAACGTTTCGGAACCAGCACGGTTCCTTCTAGAGCTGCAACAATTATTCGATTAAGTCGATTAAAATCGACGATGGAAAACGTTGTCAACATTTTCCATCGTCGATTCGTCGGCTAAAATTCAAATGTCACGCTTGCTGCTACAGTACTTCCCTTCATAGCATGCACGTAATTAAAAGGAACATTGATACATGTTGAAGCTGTGAACTCTTGCAGTATACTGTATCTGTGGTTGGATATACAGATAACAAAAAATACAAAAAAGTATACATTAAGTGCATATATATATAGACACAAATCCAAAAAACAATTCAAGTGTTCTGGGACTGGAAATACCCTAAAGGTCTGCTCCTAACATTAGATACTCCAATGACTCCCCTTAATAGGAATATTACTAGAATGGCCGAGGGTGTGGTCACCTTTTTGGATTCCACTACCAGGCAGTTAAAATCCCTCCAGTTTGAATTGACTTGTCAAACCCTCTCAGAATGGGTGTATTCCATTTCATGGAGCAAATGTCTGGAGCATTGTGCTTTATTTGTGATGGCTTGTTACAAGCACCTAGGCTTGTGTCTCATATGGGACTGCTGTTCGTACAGATGTGCAGAACATATGTGGTTGGTTTGCTGATGCTGCATCCACTGAGTATCTAGCTGAATTGTCCTTCAAGGGATGATGAGACTTCAGTCCTGCTATTGACACCAGGTGGTGAAAGTGTATTCCCATCTCAACGCAGGAGGGGTCGGGGGAATCCCACCCTTATTCTTCGTCTACTTTGGCAGTAAGTACTTGTAGGTCTTCAGAGCCTGTTCCTACTCAGCCCACAGGGCTTGTACTAACCCCTCAGAAAAGCCTTATGCATGTAGGTGTGCCTCCACTTCTACAAATCAGGTGGTGATCGTGCATCCAGGCAGGTCCTTTTGCCTTTCTGGCATTTGGAAACGGGACACAATTTTCGCTCACAGGCTAACCCCTAGTGTTTGGCACCTACTTCAGTTGCCCCTCTCTTGTGCTACTGCACAAAACCATGAAACTTCCTGGTCTCACTGGATGTCCTGCATCTTGGGACCCCTTGACCCTGCCCACGTGGGGACTAGGTTTTTGAGGTTGTACACCATACAGACAGTTGCTCCTTCCCTCAGTAGAATCCTCTGTCTTTTTAGGTACTGTTAAAATCCCTCATGGTACATGATACACCTCAGCACCCCTCCTCTCTAGAGGGAATTCCTGACCTACAAGGTCAACTAGCTCTGACTGTATCCCCTGGCATCCCCATTGTAGGATGATCAGAAAGTTTGTACATGTTAAAGAGAATGAAAGCCTTTATAAGATTGTTTATTTATTGTTGAAACACTTGGCAGATGTAAATAAATACACATGTAATTTAATGTATGTGGGCAAAACAAAGTAACAACTACAGGTTGGGTTTCTTGAACATCTGATGTAAAAAAAAAAGTGAGAATTTCTGGTGGCTGAGCACAGATGGAAACAGCGTGGCTTTTCAGTCGACTTTTGTCAAAGGAAATGGGCCAAAAACTTTCAGCCGCTCAGTGACGGAAGCCAATTAGCTACAGCAGTGGGTGTCGGCTATCAGAATATTATAGCCAGAAGGAGAAATGTCCCTATCCACATTGTTTAGCTTTTCCCCCCCCATTCAGACCATGGTTGGGTTGCGGGGGGAGGAGTCAGCTGTCCAAATGAGACCGAGCTCTCCTACCCGCATCGGCGGCTCCTTTTGACTTACCAGTACCAACATCTAATGCATCATATTGTTTGCCTGAATCATGCATGCGATAGGCATTTTTGGAAGCAAAGTATTTAGTGAGTTCAGCTGTCTGATAAAGATTGCCTGCAGTGATTGTCTCTGCTTCATTCAGGCCAGACACAGAATTTTCAGAAAGGGTTAACTCACTATTACAACAAATCTGAGTGATAATAATGACTTCTGTGTGTGTATATGCATAATTTCCAATTAAACTTAGTGCCATCCTCCTTCTTTGTGAAAGCACATGGTCACACATGCTTCCTATATTCTCCCTGTTAGTAGAGCTGTTTCTCTGCATTGGACCGTGTCAATCTGACTGTCTAAACTACTGTTCACCAGAGACAATGCCCATCTTTAGCAAAATGTCTAGACAAGGCTCTGTGTATTCTTCTATTGTTAAATCAAGGCTATTTTGACGAGATGCCAAGAGAGAAGATTCCACAGATATTGTAGAGCAGAGTGTAAAAACTAAGCACCCAATAAATACAACACCAAAATCAAGGGAAACTATGGAAAATATGTGAACACAGAGAATGCTCACAGTTGGTGCTCATATCAAAATCCACTTCCTTGCTGTAACTTTGTTACTCTTGTCTTTTAGGAGTGGGAAAAAATACGTAAAGCTGACCTACCACCAACATTTGTCAAGCAATTCCCATCTGAGGTATGGTATGATTACGTTATCATATTTATTCTCTTTAGTTCAGTATACACCCTGCTCGTTTTCACTGCCTTTTCTTTATAGTTTTTGTTAAAAAAAAAAAAAAAATTAAAAAAAAAAAAAAAACAATTTAGAGGAAATTAAATGTTTTTTGTTTTTGACCTTAGTTTCTGCTTTGAAATTTACATTTAATTGCCAAAATAACAAAAGAGAAAAATCATTAAATTTGGTTTTAGCCTGGGATGCCAATACTGGGCATTTTCACGAGTACCCCGATACAAAGCGTTCGATACTGGTGCTTTGTTAAACAAGAGGGGCTTCCTGAAGTCCCGCTGTTGCTAGGAGTCATGCGGTGGGTGGGGCAAGGTGGTGGGAAGTTCGCAGCTGTTTCAGCAGTGTAATCGGTGAGAGCGGGCCAATGCCAGGGAGGATGGATTACCTGACTGTCCTCTGTATGACAGCACTTAAATTAATAATAAAACAAACACCACCCTGCTTGATCCACCTCCTACATCTTTATTTTTTAAGACATTTCCTGTGTTTATATCCTTATGGCACCAGAAAGCCTATGTATGAGACAGAGTATTTCTTTGATATTTCCTTTAACTTTACTCCATAGGTTCTCCTAGCCCCTTGCCTTTTTAATACACTTTATTTATGGGAAGTAGGTGCAATGGGTTTGGTGAAAAGGGTTTCACTTTATGCAGACCATATACTTATCTACTTGGCAGACATGAGAGGCTCAAAACTGTATGAGCTGTTCCTACAAAGACGTACCTTCTCTCACTGACACAGATTGGAAAGAAGCCCTGCAAACCTACTTACCTGCAATGATCTCCTCCAGGGATAAAATGATTTAAATCTTGTATTTTAATTGCGCCTTCTATGTGACAGGCTAAATAAAATGGGGAACAAACACAATTCCTGATCCTGGGGTATATAATCGTGGATCAGGGTCTGCTCATGGATCCGACCAAATTCTGGGCTATCTTTGAGTGACCTTAGCCCTCTGGATTAAAAGCCACCCAATGGTTTCTGGGGTTCACCAAGTATTACAGTCAGGTCATTCACAACTATTCCACTCTGGTAGCCCCTATTGGGGCCCTTACCCGCAAGGGTGCCAATGCCAGGTTCTGGCCTCTTGAAGCCATTGACGCCTCTCGCACTCTCAAGGCAAATTATCTCTCTACTTCCATTCTCCAACGTTTAGACATTACCAAACCCTTTTCTCTGGAGGTTATTGCCTCAGTAGGATTAGGAGCATCCTACTTCCAGCTTACAGTTACCAAGAAATTTTCAGATGCTGAAAAAACTAAACCAGCAGGGATCATAAGCCAATGTCTATATATAAAAAAAAAACTAGACCTACAAGAGTGGCAACAACTATTAGAGGGTTCTCTGCATTGCATCACTATCCACATGGACCATAAAAACCTGCAATATCTACAATCTGTCGGCCCTTGAAACCCTAACAACCTCATGGGCTCTCTTTTTCACTCAATTCAATTTCAACATTGTGCTGATGGTATATAGTTTCTCCAAAATGTGTCACCTGATTCCTCTCAAGCATTTTCTTTGGCTCCCAGTCTTGCCATGATTTTTTATCAAGGAAACTTTCCATCTCCATGGTATGCCGCTCTGACAGGAGTTCAATTGTAGGCTTGCGTTTGGAGAGCCTTGGCCAGCTCCTTCCAAATCAAATTGGATTTCTCCTGTCTTTCATCCCCAGTCCAATGGGCGAACTGAACAGGCTAATGAAAATGATGAATGCTAGCTCTTTGCCTTCATCTCAGCTCATTAGGATGACTGGGCCGACCTTTTGTAAGAGTAAGAGCCCTAAACCTTTACTCCAGTGTCAGAACCAGAAAATCTTCACTGTCTCTGGTCAACATCCTTTGGTTTCCTTTAATGCTGCATCTAACGATTATTTTCTTAATCAATTAGTTGTGTATAAAATACACAAATGGAGTGTTACAAGCAAAGTTTACTTCAGAATAAAACTGCATGCAAATTTTTTGCAATCGCACTGCACTGAAATGCGCGGCATTGCAGTACTGTGCGTTCCAGTGCAGGCGATCACACTGCGGGCGGAAGCGCGTTTGGGGTTGCCATTGAAATGAATGGCACCACAGCACACATCCTGCTGCAGAATTAGTCAGGCCGAAACCAAAAATGACTCTTCCCACTTTTTTTTATTTTTTTTTTTTAAATATATTTTTCTAATAATAATATGAATTGTAAAACCAAAATATAATAAAATATCCAAACTTTTATTTTAAAATAAATAAAAAAAAGCCCAGTCATCAGTTTAGAGTTAGCCATGAATATTGGCTGGACAATTATTGCTCTCACTCTGGCGCACGTGGCGATACCTGACATGTGTAGCGCAATCATCGTTGTCATATGTAGTGCAGCCAAACTGTGTTGCCGTTAGTATGCGCGCATTTGTGTGGCCGGGGGACTTTAAACTTTTTTGGGGGTATTGTTAATTTTATTTAACTTTTTTGTTTTAACTTCATTGCGATCACATGGGGGTGATGGCACATTTGAGGTGACAGGTTCTCTTTTAAGGTGACATTAGGGGGTCTGTTAGATCCCTAGTGTCACCTTTCCACTTCAGTGAGGATTTTTCCTTCAGGTCGTCCTATGCTGATTGACAGCAGGCAGTGGGCGGGTGCAATAGCCAGCCTGCTATTGGCTATTGCAATTTAAAATATATCCGAAAGCAGGCTGGCTATTTCCAGCCACTGATGGGAGACTTGACATTTCTCCCTTCTGCCGATACAGGCAGGGAGAGCAGCGGGATTGAAAGGGACAAAGACCGCTGCAGCCAGCACCGGCGGGGAGGAGCAGAGTGGTAGCAGCTGCAAACAATCGAACAATCAACTAATCGATAATGAGAACCGTTCACAACGATTCTCATCGATTATAATCAATTAGTTGTTGCAGCCCTAGTTTCCTTTCTTGTTCCCATCTCTTTTTTTGCTGAGATCCAGAAGGCCTTCCAAACACTGAGACCCAGAACAGTCTCCAAGAATCTTCGTCTGATTCCAAGTATAAGGCAGCAGTGGATTGTCATCGTTGTCCTGGTCCCAAATTCCTACCCGGTGGTAGGGTTTGGCTTTTTACCAGACACATCTGCCTCAGAGTACCCTCAATGTAATTTGCTCCATGCTTCATCTGGCCCTTTCTGATCCTCTGCCAGGTTACTTTTAAGCTTTGTTTGCCTCCTTATCTCCACATGCCCAATGCCTACCACATCTTCCTTCTCTCAGACCTTAAGTCCTTAATTGCTTCTCCTGTCCTTCTCACCTTGCCCCATTAGCTGATATCATGGATCAGTATGTAATCAAATACTGGATTCCAAATACTCCAAGTGGAAGTTACTTTAGTTAATTGATTGGAAGGACTTTGCCCTGGAGGAGAGATCCAGGTTGCTAAGAAGTGCAGGGAGAGAAAATATTTAATTAAGGTAATTAGGTGTAACAAGGACTTCATATACGGTTTAATAGGAAATACTTGTATTTGAAAACAAAACAAAACTTTTTTTTTGTCTGGTTGCAGGGTTTCTTCAGCAACACCTGTTTACAAAGAGAGGGGGGAAAAAACACAGTTCAGCTGCATTTAGTTACTTAGACAACTGTATATTGAGTTAGTGTGGCTGATTTACTGCAGGAGTAGTGCATGTTTACTTTGCAATGCAAATTTTCACTTTGCTTAGTGAATGAGGTGAAGCTCATCATCCAACCATGTGCAAGCAAAAATCCTGTTTTTTCTTTTGTTTGCCTTGCACATGATTGGATATTCTTTGCAACTTTCATTTTCACCACATTTACTAAGATAAACATTTCCTTGCCAGGTAAACATTTATTTTGCAAAGTGAATCATGATAATTGTGTCACTGATTTTGTTTACTTTGTTGGGAAACAGCTTTTGTTGCCTATCATAGCTGAATTTGCTGCTAAGAGCAGTTATGGTGCATAACGTCTGCACAGTGCAGGATAGGCCAGGAAATACAAAGGAAAGGCTTCCACCGTCCCAGCTGCACCCCCTTCACCACAGCATAGCGCCAAGGCAGATGCCTCTTTTGCCACTGCCTTTTTACAGTCCTTTATATATTTACTCAAGTGTTTCTTTAGTAGGTACAGATCACCACTGTCCACCTAATGCTTTGTCAGACAAAACACCTACATTTTTAGAAATGTTATATACAGAAAAGAAACATGTTTGACATTTTGTTTTTTAGGAATCGATAATCAAGTTAATGTTGTCAGTGGAACCCAAAAAGAGGCCGACAGCTGCCAAATTAAAGGAGTATTTTAAATCCAAAACGACTTTTCATTCAAACACACTATAAAACGACTTACTCTGTGCAACATCTTCATTTCTGGAACCGGTCAATTGCTTTTATTCATACTGTCCTTTTGTTGGGAGAAGAGAAATGAAAGATGCATGTATTGTAAAATTCAGTGTGAACTTTGTGATGAACTGCTCAGCTAGTATTTCAAAAGTAAAATATGCAGCTGTGTTTTACATTATTTCTCTATTCCAGATGGTGCTGTGTTTAGGTTTCAGTGGACAAACCTTGATGTTCATACAAATTGATAATTTTTATTGGTCTCTTCATTATATAATCATGATATTTTTCAGTACTTTTGAGGATGGGGAATTAAAAAAAGAAAAAATGAAAAAAAGTCATTATAACTATACTTCTTACCTTTGCACATCTGGCAAATTAATCATATTCCCATTTTCTCTAATAATAAGGGGAATAGACAAGTCATGGTAAGGCTGTATAAGTGATAGATTTACAATATTATGTTTGTGTTTATAAGTGAATGTATAGCATTTTTATCAAGTACATTTTTGTAATAATTTATATCTTCAACATATGAAAATTAATATGAATGTTTGTGACCATGCAGAAGACAAATACTTGATTATTTGGAATTTTTACCCTTATCATGGGCAATATAGCAGGGGAATCGTGTGCATGCTGTAGCTGCTATAGGAACCAGCTTCTGTGGGTTTATGAGAGGGAGCACCACACAGACAATCTGGTAACGTATTTATTAATTTTAGTTTTTCGATCCTGCAGGATCCATCTCTGCATTGCCTTGAGAGAATTGATGGTGATGTGGCATTGTTCTATGTACTCTGAAGTTGCAGAGTCTGTGCCATCACTACTCTTAGGAGGGCATGGAGATTCCACCTACCTTACCTTCACTCCTTATTTTTTTTGCAGACAAGTCCACTATGCTGTAATTATGCCCCTGTTGTAAAGATAATTAATTTCTATGCTTACTGTTAAATAAGATCAAGATTGCTTGCCTAACATGTTATTGCATACAATAACTGAGCCTTGGTTAAATGACGGCCTAAAGAGACTCTTTTACGGGGGGGGGCAAACTGCAGCAGGTATGACGTGTAGGCACCTACAGGCTCTTCCAAATACCTGCAGAAGCCTCCCAAACCAAAACAAATTTTAGGCCTTTCTGACTTGTAAAACGGTGGCACTTCCTGATGGTGCCCATGCTTGCCTGGCCCTTTCTGCCTTCTGCACATCCTAAACTTTTAACTACACTCCAACTGACCAACAACGTTGCTCATCATCGTGATGGCCCAGTAGGGCTTACTGACACTACCCAGATATGTTGGAAGGCTTGGCATGACATAAAGGTTTAAGAGGGTGCTACAGGTATGAACATGCATCTCTAGGTGGCTGCACTTCAACCTTCATCAGGTTCTTCCCTTCCTTCCAGTCTCTTTAAAGGCTAAGCACATTTTAATGCAGTTCCTCTAAATGGCTCTTCTTGTGCCCAATATTTGTGTAATGTAAATCTGCAGTGATCTTTACTGCACAGCCTGCTTCAGCCATATATCCTCTCATCCAAAATGTTCTGAGTCCTACATCGCACTCCCCCAGGCATGTACAGCCTGGACTCTATAACCTTCAATGTAAGCTTCATAAACAGGTGAATGGAGTGTGGATAGTCAGAAATGTGGACAGTACAAGCAATAAGGATGTGCAGAAGAACTGGGAAGATTTTGGAAGAATGGCTGTGCAGCTATGGGCAGGCTGCAGAGTAACAATATATTTGATCTGAATGGAATTAGGAGTGCAGAATGTGTTGGTATTACAGTGGTACAATGGTAGAGAGTGTTTACCAGAAAATCTTTGTTGCCCAGTTGTATTTGTTGATGGTATTCTTACCATCATACTGTGGAAAATAGTTGTTCAAATGTGTCTGATTGCTTTGGCCAAGACACCTGGAAGCTGAACTTTAGAAAATAAGCTAAATACACAGTTGAAACCTATACAAATGTCTTACTTACCAAAGTATCGTAATGTTGTACAGGCATGTTTGTGATCTAGGCATCAGTGCTGGACAGCACAGACAGGCCAGAGCATGCAGAGTCTTCATTCCGCTGACTCTGCTCTCTACCACTGACAGAATGTTAAAGTGATACTAAACTCAGGAGTTAAATCTTAAAAATGCATTCAAATACCTTTAAATATTAACAATACTGTACTGTATTTGTGTATCACTTGGTTGTAGATCCTTACATTATCCCTGAATTGGTGCTGACACTGTCCTTCTTTCTGGAGGGTGGCTACTTTTGTTCGCCATGGTCTCCATGTGTGTTGTAAAGTAGCCACCTCTCCAAGCTCACTCCTATGATGGACTACAATCTCACATTTAGTTATTTGTATTAGGATTGTAGTCTATCACTGATTGTGGACCTGCATTGTGATTTTTAATGAGCGTAAGCTGACATGGGTTTCTATATCACTCTCCTCTTACCATTACTTAGGTTTTTTTTTTTTTAAATGGGTTATAAAACAGTAGTTGTTTTGTGAGTGGCTTCCTGATACTGCCTTAAGGTGCCCATACACCTTACAATTATCTGCAGATTTTCTGTGGTCAGATGGAAAAGGTAGAACAGATTCCTCCATCTACACTTAACTGTGTGGATGGAGTAATCTCCGTCTGGGCCAAGATTCAGTATCTTGTTAGTCTGCCCCGCTGGCTCCCAAAAAACCTGAACAGTCTGATTGGATGCAGGCATTGTTCAGGTGTTTTGAGAGCCAGCGGGGCCGAATAGCAAGATACTGAAGCTTGGCTCTGTGGGAGATTCCTCTATCCATGCAGTTTAGCATGGATGGAAGAATCTGTTGCACTTTTTCCATCTGACCAGAGAAAATCTGCAGATAATTGTAAGGTGTATGGCCAGCTTTAGAGTCCACCCTTCCAGAAATGACCCTTTGCTTGTGTTTTTGTTGGCTCTAACACCGTTTTAGGCTAACTGTTTGACAGACACAAAATATCAGATTACTTGTTGACAGAGTTTTATGTTTTGCCTGTAAGTTTGCACCTGGCTTAAAGGGACATTTAACTTAGGAGTTAAACCTTAAAAATGCATTCAAGTACCTTAACTATTAACAAAAATGTATCTTATTTGTGCATCACTCAGCTGTAGATCCTCCAATCATCTCTGAATTTGTGCTAACGCTGTCCTTCCTTCTGTAGGGTGTCTACTTTTGTTCCCCATGGTCCCTGTGTGTGTGTTGTAAAGTAGCCACCACTCCAAGCTCGCTCCAGTGATGGACTACACTCAATACAAATTAGTTAACTAAGCATGAGCTTGTAGTCCATCACAGGAGTCAGCTTGAAGTGGTGGCTACTTTACAATACACACTTGGTTTTGGCAAGCTGAAAAGATCTTGGGAGGATTGGGGTGGTTTACTTATCATTTAAAGCCCACCCTTCTGTATTTACTACTGTAAGGCTGTGTATATATATAGTAATAGATGAGCTCATGTGTTGTGTTTTTTTTTTTTTTTTTACTTTCTATGTGCTAGAGCAAGACTCAAAATACCTTGTGCTGACAACACATTGGGGAGTTGGACTGCTGTTCTCTCACAATGCAGCAGCCAAAGTCTTCAGTAGTCGTGAGTACTGTTAATTGGAGCAGTGTGCAGGGGAAGGTCAGGTCTAAGACCCCTAGAGACCAAGGCCGCCATGTTGTGTGTGAGAGCAGCAGTCTCGCACAACAAGGATATTTAAAGCGACAGTAATCTCAGGAGTTAAACTTTAAAAATGCATTCAATTACCTTTAAATATGAACAAAATGTAGGTTATTTGTGTATCACTCGGCTGTAGATCCTCAAATCATCTCTGAATTCATACCGACACTGTCCTTCCTTCTGGAGTGTGGCTACTTTTGTTCCCCGTGGTCCCTGTGTGTGTGTGTTGTAAAGTAGTCACCGCTCCAAGCTCGCTCCTGTGATGGAATACAATCTCACATTTAGTTTACTACTTTGTATTGTAATTGCAAGTCTATCACTTGGAGGGAGTGCGGAGCAATGGCTACTTTACAACACACACAGGGACCATGGGGTCGAAAAGTAGCCACCCTCCAGAAGGAAGGACATTGCCAGCACGAATTTAGAGATGATTTGAGGATCCACAGCTGAGTGATACACAAGTAAGCTACATTTCTGTTAATAATTACGGTACTTGAATGTATGGTTGAGGTTTAACTCTAAAGTTTAGTGTCACTTTAAATCTTGCTGAAGCGCATAGCAAGTAACAAATCACATAAACATATTAATGGATTTATAAATCCATATATAAAAATATAAACTTTATCACAAATCTATAAACCCTATACAAAAACAAAGAAAAAAACGAACCTAGAGATAGTCAACAAAAAAAATTAAAACAACGTTGTGTTACCAGCAGGGTACTACTATATGACAAGTTAAATATTTGTGAATAAATAATAATGCCATGGGGGCAAAACATTATTAAGTGTTAGTGTTTACAGTGCAATAAAATGTATTCATTGATGCAGTATGCCAGTCTGCAGACTCACTGTTATGTGAGCGCCGATTTGCATGTAATTTTGATATAACTTCCACATTGGGGCTAGAGACCCATATGTAAGGGTGTTGTATTAATCCACTAGGTGGCAAGCAAGGTTGTAAGATTCATTCAGTAATCAAGTTGTGCATCGTGAGGTGGTAAGAGACTCTTTCGTGATTTGATGCTTTATTGACCAGGGGAGCTTCTGGACTACAGCTGAAATCGCGTTCTTGAATGCCGTGCATGAGAATTTCTTGCTACAACATCGAAGTCTTTATTATCCACTTACATTGGCTTCCAGCATGTTGAATCTAAATGCATGAACTTCTCGGGTATGCTCTGTGTGGATTTGCAATGCAAGTGCATTTCATGTCAATGATTTATGCTTGAAATTTCCCCATGTTTTCCAGCTGAACATTTCTACGTAACTGTGTGCTTGGATCTTGATGCAGACTTCTATTTGGCTTGGAGTGTATTTGCTATATAG